AATTTCATTTATATAATTAAAAAAAAAAATAAAAAGCAAACCACAAATCTGGGACAAGAGCAACAATGAGAGACCCAAGCACAAGCAGGAATGCAGGTTTGTAAATACACACACTTACCACATCCAACAGCAAAGAGACATGACCCAGCTCAAGTTTTCCATCTGCTTTCGGTTCTGTTATTGAGTAAGAATAGACATCACCAGACTTATCTGCAACAAAAATCTTATCCTCTGCAGCTGTGATAACCAGGGATGTGCATCTCCTGTTCACAAACCTGAAAGACAAATGGCACAGCTTGAAGAGCTCTGGATGGCAGCTTCAGCAAGTCTGAAGTTAAACAGACCAAGAGGCTGGGCAAAAAGTTCTCAGATGCAACATTACTGAAATGGCAGCGACGAGAGTAACACTAAGGGGCTGAAATGGCACTTTTGAGTCTAGTAAATGAGTGACTTATGTCCTAGCAAACACCTGGGGTGGGGAGAGGAACAGGAGACCATTAAAAGCTGCATGACTGCATTTTGCTTTGCTATTTTCTCAACTGAGCACCTCACCCAGGCAGCAAGCCAGGATTCTAATGAAGGCTGGTAGACTTCCTAGCACTCTACATCATAAAAACATGAGTTAAACACGTAGAAAAGACAAGGTAGGATTTGTTCTATTACGAGTCCTTTGCAGCAACACTTTTAAAAACTGTGTAGGAACTACTCCAGTTACCACTCTGTACTGCAAATCTCCTTGATGGAGAGCCTTGGAACTCTTTTTCTCCTCATATCCCAAGTCACAGAGCCACAGGCTCCATGTTCCTTGTCCAGACAAAGCTCTGAACTTGAACTCTGAGTTTCCCTCATCATCTGCCACCATCTCATAGTTCCAGCTGCCAGTGTGGCAGGCACCAGCTTTCTCACATCTACCCAGATAAACATAAGGACCACAGATGCCAGAAAACACATCCTGTGTGTTAGCACAGGACTGTGGGCACCAATGATCATAGAAATGGATATTTATATTCACCTACTCTGAAACTGAGTGGCCATATGGAGGTAAGAGGACAATACACCATGCCTCAGGTAAGAAGAGAGAAATTCCCAGACTTTTTAGTGGCTGTTTGAAGGAACACCACAACAACAGGATCACAGGCATCACAGTTCCAAAAAATGTTACTTTGCCAACCGGAAAGTCTTGCTCTAAGTTCACTGTACCACCTGTGATCTCAAGCACAAAGATTCAAAAGTTCCCCTCTGTCTGACACAAGCTGACTACAAAGGCCAGCACTGGCCTCCAGGTGTGAGACCTTTATACAGCTTGCCACAAAACACCAACACAAGTCACATAGCTCAAACTTTGGCATTGTTATCCATGCAGAAAGCCTTCTGCCTGTATTCCCAGTTTCCCAATATGAGGTAATGACATTCCAAAGAATTCCAACTGTGGTCCTAGTTAAACTTTCAGCAGAAACTAAAACACCAAACCATTATCCAGTGGCATGTTACAGGCAAGACACACAAGGCAGGGCAGCAGGGAAGGCAGGACAGAGAATGAACAGAATTGGGCATTTCTGGTTTTATCACAGAACATCCTGAGTTGAAGGGACACATAAGGATCATTGAGTCCAACTCCTGACCCTGCAAAGGACACCCCAACAATGCCACCACATGCCTGAGTGTTGTCCAAACCCTTCTTGAGCTGTGTAAGCCTTGGTGCTGTGACCACTTCCCTGAGGAGCTGTTCCAGTGCTCAACCACTCTGGGTGAAAAACCCTTTCCTAATATCCAAGCTAAATGTCCCCTGGCACAGCTTCATGCCATGACCACTTCCTCACGACAACACTGTTTAACCCCAAGGGTCCATCCTGTATTCTACACACAGAGGCAAGCTACAGAGACCTGAATGAAATGTGAGCCAGGGTCTCACATTTGTCAGAGACCAACAGAAGCAGAGATGTCACAGGCTCAGGTACTTTCTCAGGAAGCCCTTCACAATCCTGGTTTTTCTACAGAGAATTGTCACAAACAGCAGCAGAAAACTTGGAACTGGAGGACCTCTGGTGGACAGCTACAGGCTGTTTCCTCAAGAGGAATGTACTGAAGAAAAGCAGCTGCAGCATCTCTAAAGATGTGCTTTTTGAAAAGATGACAGCTTTTTCAGAGGCTCACAAACTCCCCAAAACTCCTCAAAATCAGAAGGAACAGAGAATGCACTCACTGAACTGCTGGGCATCAGTCTTACAGGTCCAGCCCCAGTGTACCAAGAGTGGGTGGAGTTTAATTCTTAAAGATAAAAAACACTGGGTTTGGGGTAAGGAAATATATTATCCTTCCCTGGACAGTGGAATTAAACATCTGTACTCCCATTCTCGGTGAGGGGAAGACCACACATCAATTCTTGACAAATACTCTGAATTTCCAAAAACATTAAATTTGTTTGAGGGAATGTAAAAAAAAAAAAAAAAAAAAAAAAAAATTGGTAAATTTAGAGACCAGGAGAAAATGGACCAGGATTTAAACATCTGTACTCCCATTCTCGGTGAGGGGAAGACCACACATCAATTCTTGACAAATACTCTGAATTCCCAAAAACATTAAATTTGTTTGAGCGAGGGAATGTAAAAAAAAAAAAAAAAAGGAAGGTAAGTAACAACAAATATCAACATCCCAAATACTCCCATTTTAGAACTCTATATCCATCAGCCATAACTCCATAGCAGCATGCACCTCCAGTTCCTTACCTGACACTAACACATTCCCAGGAAGGCCTCGTGCGGAACAGAATCAGGCGTTTGTTGTCATCTGTCAAGGCAAAATAACCTCCTGATGGGGAGAAGGCAAAAGCCAGGATGTCATCACTTCCTTTATCTGTCCCTTTTCCATCCTGCCTAATAGAGAGAAGGGCACCAACAGTTCACAACCTGATAGATACTAAATTCCCTGAGGAGGTTGTTCCCAAACCACCAGGAGCGTGAGGAACAAAGTAAACCTTTAAATGCTTTTATTTCTCCTTAAAACGTTGAACCAACATGGACATTCATGCAAAGAAACAAACCAAGACAAAGGAAAGTGGCAGGTCTAAGCCTGTATCAAAGCCTGATTAGAAAACAGAAGTTTGTGCCAGCACATCTTGATATAAATTATGAGGAAAACAGTCAAATGTTTCTTGTTTGGCTACAAGTAAAACAATGTCCAGTGGCTAAATCTAAGCTATGAAAAATATTTTTTTTTGTGTGTGTGTGTGTGTGTTTTGAACTCTTATGAGTTACAGAACAGACCTGGAGGAGAGCTTATGTACATGCTTTGTGAGTTTTTTTGGTCCTAGATGTCTAACAAAAAATGCAAGACTTTTCCACAAATGTCTTGACTGACAAGACACAGAATTATTGATTTTGATTTTGCCACTGCTTGTTTTTTTTAGAAAAAAAGAGAAAAAAGGTACACAGTGGAATGAAACTCTGGATGAAACAGAAACAAAAAAATAGATCCATATATATCCACCAGGGTTAGCAAAACCAACCCTTCACCTGCTCAAGGAGTTATTCTGTGGCTTCCTTCTAGTGCCTTCACAGCCACACAAGCTCAGAGATGCACCCTCCAGGAAAAGAGCAGATTTTCTCACCCTTTCTCTCCTAAGGGCTGCTTCTCTGCACTGCTGCAATCGTACACGAAGAGACTCTCATCACTGCAAGGGAAAAACAAACCTAAAATTACTGGCACTACAACAACCAGGAGCTTAACTATGGAGAGTGGCAACTCTTTTCTAAGATTCTCTTATTTTAGTTATTGGGCACAACTGCCCCCCATCTTGAGAACCACCTCTACCCAAGTGGGCCCCCAGAGTGCTACAGATGTAGCAGAAGCTTAAAATTTTGGACTGTGTACATGTGTCAAAAAGGAAATCCTGACCTGCTGGTGAAGTAACCCTGTATTTTGCATAAACTTTATTTCTTTCAGACTCAGCACATCTGTCAGTCACAGAATCACAGGATGGGTCAGGCTGGAAGGGACCACCGTGGGTCCAACCTCCCTGCTCCAGCAGGGTCACCCCAGAGCACAGGGCACAGGATTGTGTCCAGATGGTTCTGGAATATCTCTAGAGAGGGAGACTCCACAGCCTCTCTGGACAATCTGATCCAGTGCTCGGTCACTTAACAATAAAGTTCTTCCTCATACTCAGGTGGAGCTTCCTGGGCATCAGTTTCTGCCCCTTGCCTCTTGTCCCATTGCTGGGCACCATGGAGCAGAGCCTGGCCCACCCCCTGACACCTCCCTTCAGATACTACACAGAACCTCAGAACCACCTGGGTAGGAAAGGACCTCTGGAGATCACCCAGTGACCTCTGGAGATCACCCAGTCCAGGCCCCTGCCCAGGCAAGGTCACCTGGAACAGTGACACAGGAACGTGCCCAGATGGCTCTGGAATGTCACCAGAAAGGGAGACTCCACACCTTCCCTGGCCAGTTGTTCCAGAGCTCTGCCACCTCCATAGGAAGAAATTCTTCCTTCTGCTGAGGTGGAACTTCTTGTGTTTTACTTTATGGCCACTGCTCCTCATCCTGTCACTGGGCAACAGGAGCTGGAAAGAGTCTGGCACCATCCTTTAGGCACCTACCTTGAAGATATTTATGTGCACCTTCCTTAAGGACATAAAATAGACCATATTACACATGCATATATGTGTATGTATAAATATATATATAAAATAATACTGTATACATTCTAGACATTTATACTTTTATGTATAATGTATGTTTTAGGTATAATAATGTGGTTTATGTATAATAATGTAAGTTTTATGTATAATAATGTGGTTTTATGTATAATAATGTATGCTTTCTATAAGTTATTACACATATATACTATGTTATATATATATAACAAATATGTATATATATGTGTGTGTCTATATATATACACATACACACGCAGCGCCAGCGCCGGGCGGGCCCCGGGGCTGCGCCCGCCGCCATCGCCGCCCGCCATGCGCCCGCGCCGCCACGTGCGGGATTGCGTCACCGCGTCCCGCGCTGACGTCACCCCGCACCAGCCCCACCCACCGGGAGGCCGCGGGGGCGCCGTGAGGGCTGCGGGCAAGATGGCGGCGGCCGCGGCGCTGAGGGGCGGCGGGAGGGCGGTGACCCGCGAGGTAAAGGGGCGCCTCCGGGAGATTCCCGCACCCCCTCAGCTGTCGGGATTCCCTCCCGCTCTGTTAACTCTTGTTGTGTTGTGCCGTGCAGGTGTTGCAGCTGGAGGCGCGGGGGCTTTGCACGAAGCCGGTGGGCACCGGGACGGCGCCGCCGCCGCCAAAGAGTAAGAGGGTGGTTTGGCTGTGAGAGGTATCGGGGTGTCAGTAAAGGAATGGGTGAGGAGAGATGGGGAGGGGTCACGCCTCGGAAGAGGCGCTGCATAAGCTGGGAAAAAACAAGGACTGAAAGGTCACCGCCATGTAAAGCGAGGGTGTCTGATAAAATGTACTGCGTAGTAATAAAAGTAAAAGTAAAGGTCTGGTTGCGTGGAATAAATTTATATATATATATATACACACACACATATATACATATATATGAATATAGTTTTATTTGTCACTTCTTTTCTGTTTACCTTCACCTTAATAACATTCAAGGCCAGGCCAGATAGGGCAGTGTCAGACTGTTCAGTGTGTACGAGGGTGAATGGCTTCAAACTGAAAGAAATTAGAGTTAGATCATATATCAGGAAAAAATCTTTACTGCGAGGGTGGTGAGGCCCTGGCACAGGCTGCCCAGAGAAGCTGTGGATGTCCCATCCCTGGAAGTGTTTTTAATGAGGTGTAAAATCTAGTTTTTAACTTAAGATGTTTGCCCTTGTCCTTTGAAATGTTTGGTTTATCAGGGTTAAGAAATAAAAGGACTAGAGAAGGTCTTCTGAGATCCAAATATCCCAAATAGCAGCTGCAGGCAGTGGAGTAAGAAGCTGCCATGGCCCTGTGTGTTAAATTTGGTTATAACGCTTCTTGCCCCATGGATCTGCAAGCCTGAACCTTGGTTTGGATGCTGCCCGGCATCCTGCATTGAGGATATTTAAACCCTTTTACCCCTGACCAAAGTCAAAACAAATTTCAGAGACTGATGTCTTGTTTGTATAAATGGAGGCTCAGTGGTTCAGTGAGGTTTCCTGTCCCAAATTAGAGATCCAGGTGCTGAAACAGGAAAGCTCCATGGAACCATATGTAGGAGCCATCAGACTTGTTGACTGCTGTTGAAAAGATCACTGAAAGAGCAGCTGAGGGCAGACTTCTGCCACCTTCTTAAATGCCAAAGCAAATAAAAACCTGGCTGTTCCATTAAGAAAGCCCTCACTGCATAGATTGAACAGCAAATTGCTTTTTATTATGATTTATCTTTTTGCATGAAGTGTATTTGAGATGCACTTTATTATCAGTTTCTGGATTCACTGTCCTGCAGCTCTGATTTGTGTCAGGAGCCCTCTTAGGCCAGCTGCTCCCCCTGCAAACACTCAGGTTAATTAAGACGTAGAGGATGCAGCTGCCTGTACCAGATTCTGGCTGGAACAGGATGTGCAAATTTTCCTTGCTTTGATAAAATGGTTGTGTTTACATACAGAGTCAGTGATGGGAAATAGACCTGTAATTTCTGCCTGTCACCTCTCTGAGTGTGATCAGCCTTTAAATAAATGCTGGGAATGATGCTGATGTTCCAAGCATCAGGAGGAACACATCTGGGAATGGTGTTTCTGTGACTGATTTGGAGGTGTTGTTCTTTGGGCAAAGTGATGCAGGTACAGATTAGCTGGTGCAAAGTTTGAAATACCATAATTAAAGTGGATCAGTTGTGTTGGATGTTTCAGCTTTTAATCATAAAATCTATCTTTTTCACTTATCCAAACTTAACTGTTTTAAGTATTATTCCAGTAACTAATGGTCAAGTTGAATTTTCCCTGCCTTCTTGATTTCTTAGGATGTTTTAACATTAATACTTCTTCAGGTTTTGCTCCGCTTTCCCTTGTCTATCCTCTCTTTGGCCATTCCTGTGTTAGTTTAACTCTTCTGTGCCTCTCTGAAGAACTCTTCCATCCTGAGTGACGCTTCCTCACGTGTTAGTTTCTCCAGGCTGCTGTTTGGCTGGGTCAGTCTGTGCAGGGAGTCAGACCTCTTCCAAAGGTGGCTGCCCATCCTCCTGCCTCCCCCTGCCCTTCCTTCCCATCCTGCACCTTCCGTCTGGCAGAGAGAAGTATGTGCTTGAAATTATCCAAAATACTACCTGTAAACTTGAAATCTTCTTTTATTGTATTTTGCTATGATAAATCTTTGCATTTCTATCTTAAATACTTTGCTTTTATTTTCATGTGCTTGTCTCTTCTGTGATGTTTTCATTTAGACATTGCTAAAGACTTGCTTCTGTTCAGAACTAATGGTAATAACTCCTTGAATCATACAAGGTATTACCAGACAATACCAGCGAGGGGAAAGTTGTATCTTGTTTATGGGCATATAAAGTAGATCTGGATTTCCAAACTCTGCAGAAAAATCTGCATAATGGGCTGGAAGTCTGTTCAGTTTTGCTGCTGGTTGGAAGTGGTGCAGCTTGTAATGGAGTTGGCTTTGCTACAGCCAGTTTCAGCCTTGGTGAATCTTAATGTGCTCCCAGTCCTCCTTCACCTCCTGTTTTCTGTAACCACAACGGTATTTGCTGTTGCTCAGCCTCCTGAGGATGATGATAAGCATCCAAGGGATATTATGTATTTCCTGAAAGGACCTGAAAATTGCTGCCTTCCCCTTCGACTGTTGGTTCCATGTCTGGAGAGTTTAGCTTAATGCAGGTATCCACAAGGGAGAAGAAGCTGAGACAGAAGCAAAGATGAAGCATCAGGAGATCTTCTAAGGCCTCTTTAACAAAGAGGTCTCAAAGCAGAAATAGGAAGTGAAGCCTGGAGGAGATGAGGTCTTGGGGAAATAGTGTTGAGCTGTGGGGGCACACCTCAGGGGGCAGCTCACAGGGCAGTGAACAAGTAACACTTTCATGGATGGACTCAGGTATCTCTTACTCTGCTGCTTTTCCTTTTGGGAGTCATCCCTCCCCTCTGCTCCCAGGATAACTCTTGCAAGCAGCTGTGGCTTTGTCTCTTTACTGTGTCTCTGCTTGGCTGGCTTGTTCACAGATCAGTGTTGTCTCTGCAGCATTGCTTGAAGAGCTTGGCTGATGAGCCATCCTAATGCCCACCTGAGATAGGGAAGTGTCTGCAGACCTTTTCCAGTGCTGCAGAGTTGAAGCACAGGGAAAACCAGCTCTTGGAGGGGTCTGGCAAAGCGAGGAACATAAGGGGTTATCTCTTGAGTTTTGGCATCGCAGCAGCAAAAACTGTTACGTGCTAGTAGAACTCCAGTTCCTTTGACTTAAAAAAGTCTAAAAACTTTCTGCTTCGCAGTGCCTGTATTTAGCATTATAACTACTTTCAGTTTATTTTTGTAGCAGATTATCTCTGAAAGTTAAAACTGTGTGATTAAGATCAGTAATAGTGATGTTAGATACAATGATGATAATCCTCTTTATGCCGTTTCCTAGATGTAGTGGCACCACAGGGAAGCACCAAGCTGCTTGCCGTGAAGGCACCAGTTGAATTTCGTAAAATGTTGTCTTCTAGCTCTCTCCTGCTGTCTGCAGACAAAGGGGAGAGCATTTCTAGTACCACCCTCAAGGAAGCTGCAAAACCTGCTGAAGACAAGAGGATGCCCACGTCAAGAAAAACTGAGGTTGCATTTCCTCAGCGAGGAGTTGCTTCCTCCCGTGAGGAGGAAAACCTCACCACACCTGCAAGAGGAGGAGGCCTGAGGAAAAAGTTAGCTGAGGAACAGACTTCATCCAGCTCAGAGTCAGATTCTAGCTCAGATTCTGAGGATGAGAATGTTGATGATTCAGAAGTTGTCATTAAAACTAAAGTTGAGTTTCCCAGACGATATCCCATCATTTCTGAGAATATAGCAGTAAAGGCATCACTGCTGACAAAAGAGAAATTGTCCCAGAAATCCCTCAAAGAATATGGAATTAAGAAGCTGCCACGCAAACCAGAAATTGACGTGTCTCCTGTAAAGCAGGTCAAATTTTCTAAAACATCAGTCAGCCAGGAAACATCAAAATCCAAAGCAAGAGACCCCAAAGTAAAATCCCCTCCAAAAGAACAGAAGTTGGTCTTAGAACCACATGTGAAAAGTCTGGACCTCACCAATATCACTCGTAAATCTGATCACGTGGAGGAAAAGTCCACTGGGCCCCAGGTAGCAGCTCTGCAGCTGAAAACCTCAGCAGTGACTCAGGAAGACAAAAAGCAAGATCTGCTATCCGGAGGAGAGAAGGAAAAGATGAAGGAGGCACAGGAGTTGCAAGCAAAAGAAGCAACTGCTCCTAAAGTGGAAGAGACTTCTGGAAGCACAACGTTGGTGATGGGCACCACAGCAAAGGAGAAGACCACGCAGGAAGCAGGAGTCCAGGCTGGAGAAAGCAGCACAATAGAGGGTACAGCTTTAAATTGTTTGAACTGTATTGATTCATGTAGGGTTTGACTTTTTTAAAGGATTTCTACATCTTCTCTGATCTTTGTACTGAGGCTGGCAGAGTGGCAGTGACTTTCTGGAAGATAAATTGTTCACTGCTAATTGTTATAAGCTGTCAGTAATACTCAGTCTCCAGCTATGCTGGGAAAGGAAGTGGTTTCATTTCTCTGTATTTATAGTTTCATAAAACAGTTACTTATAAAATGGAAACAAGATTGTTTCCACTGTGAGTGAAATCATGGGTTTTATATGACAACACTTGTTTTCATTCTTCTCTTTCCTTGGAAGGATTTGGTAGCTGCCATTCTCATGAGTCAAATTTGGTGCCATCTCATTGTTGCTTAATCCCTGCCATCTTTCTGGTTTTGTTTTGGGTTTTTTTTTGGGTTGTTTCGATGCTTTGTTTTTCAAGCTGTCAATGTTTCAGATTTCAGAAGGCTTCGAGAAATCATAGTGTAATGCCAGAAACAGGCCTTGCTGGTTCTGAGACTGGAAGGTTGCAAGCAACTTGTGTGGAAGTAGTGAGTCAGTTTTGTAGAGAGCTGGGGAGGAGACAGTGGTGTGTTTTCAGGAAAGACCATTGTGCATCACGTAATCATCTCCTCAGCTGTGCTTCCCTATCTGACTTACCCTTCTCATTTACTGCCATCCTGTTAATTGATGGTCCTGCTGATCTCATTTTGTGTATCTCAGTAGCAGATGTCTCTCTGTCCTGATCTGTTGAGATTCTGCTTTGCATCTTAGGCAATATAAATCTGCCTTTCTTCAGACCCCTCTTCTCATTGCCACTTTGAATTAAAGAATTTGCCTGCTTGGAAGTCAAAGCAGCATTAATTGTAAGGTTGCTTGAGTATCATTCTTCAGGAAAGACCCTGGGGGCCAAGGGAACAGCAAATTGAACGTGAGCCAGGAATGTGCCCTTGCAGCAAAGGCCACCAAGGGTGACCTGGGAGGAGCAGGCTGAGGGAGCTGCAGCTCCTCCCCTGCTGAGGTGCACAGGGGTGCAGTATTCATTTTGGGGCTCCCCAGTGCAAGGGAGGTATGGTGCTGCTGGACAGAGACCACCAAAGTGCCACTGAAATGATGGAGGGACTAGAGTAACTCTCCTGTGGGAGCTGGGACTGTCCAGCCCAGAAAAGAGAAGGTTTAGACAGGACATTATCCAGGTGTGGAAATAACAGAAGGAGAGTGCAAAGAAGACAGAGGTAAGGCTTTTCAGTGGTGCACAGTGATGGGACAAGAAGCAGTGGGTACAAACTGAAACACAGGGTTTTGCCTGACCATCAGTAAACACTTTTTTTACTGTGAGTGATAGAGCACTGCACAAGTTGCACAGAGAGGTGGTGGGGTCTCCAACCCAACTTGGAGACATTTAAAAGCTGTCTGGACAGGGCCCTGAGCCTCCTGCTCTAGCTGACCCTGCATTTGGCTTTGGACCAGCTGACATACAGAGGTGTCTTCCAAGCTCAGCCATTCTGTGGCTCTGAAGTGCCTGACCAGGTTAAGAGACAAAATAATTGCAATTGTACATCAGCTTCTGGGAGATGGTGCTGAGTAAAAGGTCTGCCTTCTGTTTGAGGGGTTAGTTGGCTCATCATTTCTTCTGTTTCTTTACCTTCTTCCTTGATGGCAGCTCAGATGACTGGAAGTGGCACTCTGTGCTGGACTCAGTCTTGGAGGTCTTTTCCAACCTAAATAATTCTACAATTTACAAACCAAAATGCTGCAGTGTTTGCAAGCGATATTTTGATTTGCTTGGTCCTTCTTGCAGTCAACAGCATAAGCTTTCTTTTAAAAGTAACAAAAATTTCGGGGCTCTTTGTTTTTATCTACAGATGATGCTTTTCTCACCATTCATCCACAGTGGAGTTCTAGATGCTCAAACGTTTTTCTTTCCTGGTGTCTCCATTTGTATCTTGTTCTCTCTTCCTTCTTTGAGAGCAGCCACTGCTTTTCCTTGTTCAGCATTCCCAGCTGACTGTACCACCTGTAACTCCTGTCCTGCCCCTGTGTCCTTATGTCTGCAAACTCTGCAGCAGCCACACAAAAGATGTAAAAAGAATTTTTCTCAATGCAAACCTGGATGTTCAGGTGATGTCATCCCTTTGTAGAGCAGTCAGCAAAAACTGCTGCCTTGAACTGCTGAGTGAGGAGCAAAGTTGTAGCTGGGAACTCAGAAATAGGCCTGTGATTCATTTCATCAGAGCATCCTGAGAAGTGCTTGCTCTTTAGGAGACAAAGCAGAGATGAAGGATGAAGTGTGGGGAGGATGAACTCAGGAATAAATTTTTCCTTTGAGAAGTCAAGTGCAGTGTATTTGGGCAGGAAGAACAAGGCTCCATCTGCTTTCCTTCCTACACATCTGTCTCTGAATTTGGAACAACTGGCTCTTGCAGGTTGAGCTACTCTTGCCTCCCCTTGCCTGTTCCTGGGGCTCTTTGCAGCAAAGAGCATCATCTGCCTTTTCTCGCTGGATCTCATCTCCTGTGAGCTCTGTCAGGAGAACTGAGCAGCAGGCACAGGGATATTTCCTGTCATGTTTTGCTGAAATCATGACTTAGTACCTTGAGTTTTATGAGCAAGCCTTGCTAAATGCTACAGATATTTCTCTTAATCTGATAGCTTCACACTGCAGTAATTATTTCATAAGTAAAGGGAAATCCTGGTCTTCAAGTTCTTGTGTTTTTATTACAGATGGACCTGTTAAAATAAGGGCTTAGTACAGTCTAACCTGAACCACCACATACAAATTTATACAGCAAAGCTTTTCAGTACACTGTCTGTTGTTAAAACTCTGAGTATGCAAGAATAAATTAATACTGGGAGTAAAGTTTTATTTCTTGCAATTTTCTCGGTTGTAAAATCAGCCTGTGTAAGAACCTTTTATGTAAATGATACTGCCTAGATTTGCATAATATTCTAAAAGCATAAGAATTAATGTTGGCTTTAACAGGAAGTAAGGAGTTCTAAATAACTTTATTGGGTTATTCTTTTTTGAAGGATAGCTAATACAAAGGTTAGAAGGTTATATTTAAAAGAAATTTACATCACAGGCTCTTGATAGATTACTGTTTGATATAACCTCATTTGAAATTAAATGGTGGAGATCTTGCTAATTCCATCGCTTCTCCCCATGGCAAAAATTCAATGTGTAAAGCAGCTCTAAGAGCTGTATCTCGTGGTCTGACGGGATGATACATCATTTGTACTGCTCCTTTGCCCCTCCTGGTTTGCTAGGAATGTCACCTACTGTTCTGGCTGGAATGAAAACCAAGGCAAATATGAGAAAGCCAGGAAATGCAGACATATGTCTTCCAGAGATAAATGGAATGTTCTGCCCTGTCCACCCCCAGCATTAGGTGGTGGTTTGGGTTTAAAACCTGTGCTGTACAAGATGCCTTGTGCTGATCCCTGTTCCCCACTGCATGTGCTGCTTTAGGGCCAGACAAGGCACCAGCTGGACTTACTAAACTTCTCCTTTTGTTAAAGTTGCTGACCTTTTTTTCTTTCAAATGTTGACTGGATGAGGGATCTGACAATTTATGAAGGTTGATTCAGTGCTTAAAAACACTGTCCTCTGGTGTGGCATCCTCATAGTCACCAGTTCCTGTTTGTTTTCACAGAGACAGCTCAGCCTGCTCCAGAGGAGTTTGATAATTCCACCTACAAGAACCTGCAGCACCACGAATATCACACGTTCACCTTTCATGATTATGTCGCTGTCCTCGCAAAGTACAGGCAGCCTCAGCCCTCCTCTGGAAGACCATCACCCAGGCACTGAGAGAGCCACACTTACAGCAAACACCCAGGCAGGATGGTGAATTGTTCTGTTTAGCACTGCTGCTTCATCTGTGTAATTGAAATCAGATAATAAATAATAAAGGCATAATAACTTGGGCTTCCTTGCTGTTGGAGTCCCTCACTTCTTGACTTCAATGAGTGAACTGCAAATGAATTATCACTGAATAAAAGTATCTTTTCTACCTCTCTATATATATTATTTGGTGATAGTGTAAAAAAGTCTTTTTGACTTTTCAGTGTCTCCAAACTTTGGATACTGACCATTCTTACAGGACCATGTCAAAGATTCCCATGGGATTCAACTCCTGTGGAGTATGTGCCATGTTTAATTTGGTGTCACTGTACTGCAGCGGGCTGTGCTCCTTGCACACAAACGTGTTCCCAGCTCTGAAGAGGTAATGTTTACTCTGGATTTGGGAGTTAAAATCATTGGCTGGGAGCAGCACAAGAAGTGTTTGTCTCCTGTGGCTAGAGTGAATGTTTTGTGTTAGTGGAGGAATGCAAGTTTATGTAATGTGATTGAAACATCTCAAAACCTCTGCTCTTGTAAAGGGAGAACAGAACATACAACTTTATTTAATCATCTGTTGGGGCTCCAGCAGTAATTGAAATAATTTTAAATGTTAGAGAATCTCAGTGGGCAGTTCCTAATAGACTTTTACTGTGTTGATTAAACTTTCAGGAAAAAATCTATTTCTATGAATAGAAACACTCGAACCATTATTTTTAAATGTGATGAAAATACCATAAGGGTGAAAACAGCTCCTGGTACTAATTGTTGGGAGCTTGTTTAATTTCCCACTTCTTTTTTTCCCCCACACTAAAAGTTAAAATTGCTGTCCAGCCTCAGTCTTGCTCTGCAGAAAATGTGAGCCATGAGGCACTTCTCAATACACGTTATCAGCAGTTACAGTTGGTCTCAGTAAATTTTGTATTTCCATCCTATTAGTAACAGTCTTCTGCCTTCTGGGAAAATCGCCTTGATGGCCGCCAGCTGTTGTGGCTTTAGTTCCATTTTGGCTTCTTGTTCATTTTGGGCTTTTTTGGAGTTAATTGGCCTTTAAGCAGTTCTTGCAATAACTCCAGCATTTTCCATCACCTGTCTGTATTCTTTCAAGCAACAGACCAGGCAAGATCAAAGGGAAAACAGAGTCAGCTTTAGGAGTCTATCTGGATATTGGATGTGAATCCCTGGGTGCAATTAGTAGAGCAGATATTTTATACTGGAACTTGGCAAAAATGTGGTAAGAAGGATCAAGAGGCCTACATCAATTTGCTGTGTAGAATTTTAAGTCAGAAACCCCTGGCAAGCAATTTTATTGTCCTGTAAAAAATAAAGAGCATGTTAGTGACTCCAACTGAAATTTAGAAATCTGTTAATGTATAAATCCACGTGCTGAGGAATAAAGAGCAGAAAGTCACTTGGAGATACCAATGGTCCCATGCACTCTGTACTTGTAAAAGGGAGAGAAATTTGCTAGCATTAAAAACATGAAAGAATCGGGGTCTTCCTTTGAGAGGGGCCCACAGGAGGCCCCAGTAATGCTGCTGTGATTTGTTATTACCTGAGACTCCACGAGGTAACCTGAGCCTCAGAGCTGCACTGGTGCTGAACTGTGCTCTGAGCTGCTCTGGGACTGCAGAAGGAGGCTGCAGATTGTCAGACTCTACACAGTAAAAGTGAAATGTGTATTTACTCAGCCTGCCCACAGTAGCTGTCACTGCTGGCTGTTGGGAGTCAGACTTGCTCACCTCGTGCCCTTTTTATTTCTCAGGAGGGTTGGTGTTCTAAACAGGGACTGGATCAGCCCAGGAGGAGTGAGTTGAGGTCGAAGTGTATCTTGCTTTCGGTCAACTCCCACCCTCTGCTCAGCTACCTTTCTAACTAAGGAGATTCTAATCTGGTTTGGGGATGGGCATTTTGCTACCCTTGTTTCAAGATCACAGCAAAAATTAATGGTGGATGCCTTTTCTATCCATGTAACCCTGCCTTGTTGTCTTCTGGTGATCTTCCTGCATCTCTAAAATGAAGCTGGAAGTCAAATAACCTTGTAACTTTTGTGATGCACATCTTAGGTTTGCCCTGCTCATGAACCAGTCTGCCCTGGGAAGGCAGATTATGCAAGAAAGGCACCAAGAATTTTTCCCACTGTTGTGTTTTCCTGGATTTCAATGAAACAGCCTTCATGTTTTTGTCCCTGGCTATTATCAGATGTTGCTGTGCTTGAGTCATATGCTAACATTTAAATTTAAGCAGGATGTGACACAATATGCTCAAATTCTGTAACGTTAGTAACTTTGTCTTGCTGTGCTAGGCACTTGTCAGATAAGTCAGGGATCTTGTTTGGAAGAATGTGTAATCCAGGATACTAATATAATTCCTGGAAAACCTCAAATGTGAAAGAAATTAAGTCTCAGCTTAGTTACTGTGAAAACCAGCTGTTCAGGCCCAGCACAGACTGCAGAAGTGGGGTTTTCAATGTAAATTGCATTACTGGGAGAGTACAAGAAAATCTGGAAAGTGGAATTCACTTTCCTCATTGAAAGGATGAAGCAACCACTTTCCTTGTCAAAGGGGATGGTTTTTAAACTTTGTCTTGTTTGTTTGTTTGTTTATTTGGTTGGGGTTTTTTTGTTTTTTTTTTTTTTGTTTTTTTGTTTTTTTTTTTGTTTTTGTTTTGTTTTTGTTTTTTAAGTGCAGCTTTGCACAAAATTGCTTTTCATCATTTTCCCACGCTTGGATCTTTCAAAGTAGCTTGGAACCCATCAGGTTCTTGGAACCCATCTGGTTTCAGCCTTTGACAACGCCTAATCCAAGGTCCAGAAGTGGTACTGCAAACACAGCCTGTGGTATTACAGCTTTAGGTATGACAAGTTCAAGACGTTTTTGCTCCTTCTGGGGTTTCCTCCAACGGGAGGATGAGAAAGGGGCAAGGCTGGCTCTAGGTATGACAGGAAAATGGAGGTTCTGAAAGCTTCCATTTTTCCATGTTTAACTGCCTTGGTAGTGGTCTACCACTCCAGTCATGATGAGAACTGAAATCTATAAGGATCTCTTCAAGTAAGAAAACTTTTCACTGAGTGCACTGACAGATCTTCCACAGAACATCCCCAGTGTTCTACAACAGAACACATCCACTGAGCCCTAAAAACCTGCCCCAGTCTTTTCTCTCACCACAAGAGATGCCACTGCTTGTCTGTTCCAAACAGTTGGAATTGCTGGTGGGTCCAGTCAGTGGCTGATGTGCAGTGAGTGAGCAGAAAGCACAGTCCCAGTATCCTGTGTAGCATCATAACATCAGAATTGTGCAGACTGAGCTTGGAAGTCCTGAGATGATCAGTCCTCTGCTCTGCAGCAGCTGCAATTAGATCAGCTTGTCCTGGACCTTGTCCAGTTGAGTTCTGAATATACTCAAGGATGGAGATCCTGCAGGCTCTCTGGTCACCTTCTCCAGCATTTGGACACTCTTGTGATTTAAAAGACAAACAAAAAGCCTTCACCTGTTGTCTAATTGGATTTTTATTTTTTTGTCTCCTGATGCTGATCCTTACTCCACATTTCTGACAAGCCTGGCTTTGTTTTTTCTGCCCTCTCCAAGGAGGTGATTGAAGGTAGAAATCCCCCTTACTGTCCTCTTCAGATCAGGCTACTTCTGTAACACCTGAGTGATAGACTCCATAACCAGAGATCCTCTCAACTCTGAGTAACATTAATTAAACTCTTAGGATTTTAAACAAAATATCCCACCAAGTTTCCAGACCATCCTTCTCCTCTCATGTGGCTCTTTTTAGTGGAATTTTAAATACTTTTTTCTATGATTCTATGATTCTATGATTTCAGAATTTAGATACTATCCTCAGTGTTCAGTTCAGGATCACCCCTAATACAATCTACAAATATTTCTGAGCTCCCCTTTTTTTAATTTTTGCCTACAAACATTCAATTACACTTAGAAATTCATACCCACCTCTGGAAGTCTTGGGTATGTGGCAGTTTTGGGGTAGAATGTATCAATGCATAGTTAGAGACACATGTTTAAGTACATGTATTTATAATGAAATATCCCAAAAACTTTGGCTCGGTGGGTGGAGTCAGTCTCAAAATTTCTCCTGGCCTCTTTACAAACTTCTAACTGCAAAATAGATTGACAGGAACATGTTTCTGTAAATCCATAGCATCACGGAATACAGCCTATATGCATTTTAATTTCTAACACTCACAGAGCCCATGCCACATGTCTTTGTTAAAATCAACACCTAAAATTCTTAGTGGGCTTGTTTTTGTTATTCCAGTCTGAAATGTGGTTCACATGGCAGTGCCCGTTCCCAAACACACACTTCCTAAAAAATAAGCTAATATAGATTATTTATGCTTGCTTTTTTTGGTGTTTGGTTGTGATTTTGCTTCATTTTCTGTTTCTGGTCTGTCCATGATAGTGAGGTGCTCTTGCTATTCCATTTGGCCGTGGGGGTACAACTGGTTTCTAAAATGTGTGACAGCATCTCTCTGGCAGGGGAGAGGGAACGTGCAAGCCATGACATACCTTGTGCTGCACAAATGCTCATGTTGTGCCTCAAAGAAGGGAGCAAGAGTTACTCTTCCCTGGAGGCTTGGAAAGGGACTTGAGAGCACCACCCCTCCACGCTTCCATTGCTCATTTCCAGGTGCTCCTTTTCCAAAAAGCAGCTTCCATGCTTTTTTTTTAATTTAGCTTAAAATCATGCCAGACAAGGCCATTCTGAACTGCATGAATGTTTCCCAAACTCTCCTGGGGTATTTCTAAAAGTGAGCTGCATCCTATAGTTTGAGGACTGGGAGAAATATGAGGGGAGCTGGAAAGAAACTCAGAATATAGAAGGAAAGTGCAGGAACTGAGAGCAAGGATGGTCCTTGTGACTCAGGTGTTGGACTGGATCATTTGTGAGACCTCTGGCTGCCTGGCAAGTTGCATAATTCCTTAGGTTCTCATCCTTACTTTATAGATGAGGAGTTAGTGGTCCCAACTTTCTCTTTGTACATCACATCTATTAAGCAAGTAACCCAGAATAAAAATGAGCAAAACATGGGAAACATTTTTTCATTATAACTTCTGTCT